TGAAGCCCCAGAGAAGGCAACCCGGACCGAGAGCTGGGAACGTTGAGTCAACAATGCGGACGCAACATCATTAAGCTCCAAAGAATCATTTGATTCCAGGAGCTCCACACAGTTGCGAATATTTGGTGATAATGAGCTCTCGTTGGAGGCAGAGAATGTGAAAGGCAATGGTAAGCAGTTTTTTGAAGTTGAGGGTTCCTTGTGTGGCTGATCATAGCTCTCAATGATCGCATGGGCGTTGGTTCCTCCGAATCCAAATGAGTTCACACTGGCTCGTCGAATACCGCTTGAGGTAGGCCATGGGAGGGCTTTAGTCGGAACCGTGCACTCATTAAAAAAGGGAATTATTTCAGGGTTCATGTGGTTGAAATGCATGTTTGGTGGAATTTGTCCTCTGCGAACCGCTTCTCCTGCCTTGAGCAGGCCGGCCAAACCGGCACACCCCTCCAAATGACCGATCACGGTTTTGACGGAGCCAACATAGAAGTTGCACTTCTCCGAAGACTTGGATGCAAAAAAGGCATCGTGGATAGCCTGAGCTTCTATCGGGTCTCCTCGAGGGGTTCCGGTGCCGTGAGCTTCAAAGAACTGACACCGATCATCCAGACGGGAGCAATCGAGACCAGCCTTCTGGTAAGTTTGGCGAATCAGCGCTGCCTGTGATGAAGAGCTAGGCATTGTGATTCCTTTGGTTCGGCCATCCTGGTTCACGCCAGTCTCGCGAATGATATAATCAATGTGATCTTCATCGGCGATAGCTTGGGATAGGGTTTTCAGCATCACCGCAGAGAAACCTTCTCCACGAGCATATCCATCAGCTGCAGCATCCCACATACGTGACCTTCCTGTGGGGGATAACATGTGAAGGTTTGCTTCGGCAATCATCATCTCAGGTCCCAGGATGAGATTGGCACCAGCAGCCACAGCAACCTGGCATTCACCGGCGCGAAGTGATTGAACGGCGTAGTGCAACGCTACCAGACTTGACGAACATGCAGTATCAATGGTCATGGATGGACCTTTCCAATCAAAAAAATATGACAACCGGTTGGAGAGAATGCTACGCGCCGTGCCTGTTGCCATGTAAATGGGCATGTTTTCTGGATCGCGAATTTGCAGTTCGTGATAGTCACCAGTCATCAGACCAACGTAGACCGCAGTGTCGGAGCCTTTCATGTTGCTTATCGTGAGGCCTGCATCTTCCATAGCCTCGTACACTGTCTCAAGAAGCATTCGGTGTTGTGGGTCAATTGCTTCAGCCTCCCGCGGATTGATGCCGAAGAATGTGGCATCGAAAGCGCTGATATCTCCTTCGAGAAGATATGCTTTGCTGACATTGGTGCTTCCATCGCGCTCACCATTAGGATGATAGAAACCTTTTGGATTAAACCGAGAAGGGGGAATTGTCGATAGAACGTCACGCTGTGAACAAATGGCATCCCAAAGCTTAGACGGGCTACTGATGCCCCCCGGGAAACGACAGCCAGCACCGACAACCACGATGGGCTCCGTAGGATATTCTGATGGCTTCATGGTATGTTTCAGGTGAACCAGACTTTGTGGTACTTTCCATATAATACAAGATGTAGAAGATGCAAGGAAAAGGACGATGAAGTACCCAGGAGACAGCCACTAGAACGATTTAAGGATAGATCCTAGAATGAATTATCCGATGACAGGTGGTATAGAGCAGCCAAATGGTACTATTTAGCTCGATCGGCCTTCGTGGTCCGTAAATCCACCGAATTACGAGTCCACCTTTTGCTCCGGTGTTGTCAACACAGGGCGCCATTCTTTCTAGCAATGGTCCTGAAGCAAGCCAGTCTTTCTCAACTCGATTTGAAACTTTGCTCAACATCATTTTTCTTACTCCCAAGACTTCAATCTCACACTATGGGCTGGTTCTTTCAATCCGAATTCTTTGAGTTTGAGTTCCTTCGAGTCATCGGTACCGCCCCTGTCCAAGGGGCCGAGGTGGGCGAATGTCTAGCTGCACAATCTTGCATCCAAGATGGAAATATCGACAGCTGGCATAGATCATGGGTCAAATTTGGCCAAATGGCAGACAGCCTTGGAGCCAAAGCCCTGGAAGCCAAAGATCACGAAGCAGCTCGGTGGGCCTTTCTTCGAGCTTCAAACTATTGGAGAGCAAGTGAATTCTTCCTGCATTGCAATCCCGCTGACCCAAAAATGGGCGAGGCCTTCGAAAGAAGTGTGGCAAGCTTTCGAAAAGCCATTCAGCTACTCGATGGAGAGGTTGTTCTTCTGGAAATTCCATTCGAAGACATGGTTTTGCCTGCCTACCTCTTCCTGCCCCCGGCCCACAAGCAGCTCCCTCATGGTACTCCACTTCTAATCCACACCGGTGGTTTTGACTCCATAGGCGAAGAGCTCTACTTCTATGTTGCTTCCGGGGCCACTCAACGGGGCTATGCTGTCCTCATATTTGATGGACCGGGCCAGGGGGCTGTTCTGCGTAGCAAAAACGCCATTTTCGACCTGACTGGGAAGTTGTGATTTCACGTGTTCTCGACTATGTAATCGAGGCCGTTATTCCAGTGAACTCCTCCGCCCATCAAATCGATGTGAATCGCATTGCTATTTTCGGAGCATCAATGGGTGGTTATCTCGCCCTACGGGGAGCAGCCGACCCTCGAATCAAAGCGTGCGTTTCATGCGATGGATTCTACGATATGTTTCACGTTACACGGACGCGTATGCCTTCTTGGTTTATCAATAGTTGGATCTCTGGATGGATGAGCGATTCGGTCTTCAATTCGGTTGTGGCCGTATTGTCTCGTCAAAGCTTCCAACTGGCATGGGAGTTCGGACATAGTATGTGGGTTTATGGAGATACCACGCCCGCAGATGTGATGCGCACCATGCAAAAATTTACTCTAAAGCAGTCAGATGATTCGGAGTTTCTCCACAAAATCAATGGGGCCGTTCTGGTTACAGGGGCGCAGGACACCATGTACTTCACGCCTGATCTGAATGCACGCCGAATATTCACCCGTCTCACCCATTTACCCGAGGATCGGAAAGCACTATGGGTGCCGAGTGGTGTGGAGTTTGGAGGCCAGCAAGCTAAGATCGGTGCAATCGGCGTGAAACAGCAGCGTATGTTTGCGTGGCTGGACCAACAGTTAGAAATCCACCGATAACCGGAACCCGCCGATCCGATCATTCCAGGTCACAGATTGCTTGTAGCTATTCTTATTTCACTTAGTTTGATATCATCAGAGCCATCATTTATCTCGAGTCAACGAATTCGCATAGTCCTAATTCGCGTTGACCCTTGTCAACCATGGCATTCGGTACACTATTCACGTATACTCCCAATGCACGGGCCCTAAAGGTACACGCACGATACTCAACGTTCCAGTGATTTTCATTAACATGAAAGTAGATACTGGCAGCTGCCCAGGTAAACCGGTTAGAAGTCAGCGTTCCCCGGGAATTTCGATTGGGCGTCACGAATCAGTCCTCCGAGTTCCTTGCCAAATTTCCCTTGGGCAAAGTTCCAGCATTTGAAGGTTCAGATGGTACTCTGATTTTCGAATCCGACGCAATTGCACAATATGTGGCTGAGAGTGGCCCTTTCGGCGACAAGCTCCTTGGTAAAGATAGCCTTGAAAAGGCCACTATCCGGCAGTGGATTTTATTTTCGGATCTTGAAATCATGAGTCCAGTTATAGAATTGGTAATGTGGAGAGTTGGAATGGTGCCATTCGATGCATCTGTTGAGGAGAAGGCCATGGTGACTCTTCGCAGAGGCTTGAGCTGCTTGGAATGTTACTTGAATGGGCGGAAGTGGTTGGCTACTGAGGATGACCCAAGCTTGGCGGATTTCACTTTAGCTGGTGCATGCTTCTGGGCCTTTATGCAGGTCATTGATTCAAAGATGCGTGATGAGTTTCCGATTCTTACCCGATTTTATCAACGGATTATCGCATGGGAGGACGTGAAGTATGTCTTCCGGCAGGCAACTTTCATTGAAGAGCGGATTGACCATTGAGGATCACAACATTCATCTATTTCCTCCCCAATTGCTTCATAGTTACATTCTTCCTTTCTATTATCGATACCGAACCTTCATCATGTACTTTCCAGCCTGAAGTTGCAACGCGACCCTGAAGACGGTCGATTCGTCTTGGCCGCCGACATACTCCAATGTGAACTTTCTCAGCAGCGTTACAACAGACAGGAACATTTCCTGCAGCGCAAAATTCTTCCCAATGCAGACTCGACTTCCTGCAGAAAAAGGGTAAAATGGCATAGTTGACCGTTTCAGTTCACTAGGGCTCGACTCAATCCAACGCTCTGGAATGAACTCTTCCGGCTCAGTCCATATCGAAGGATCTAAATGGAGCGTGGCTGTCGTCGGGAAGACTGTAGTCCCTTTGGGCACTTGATATCCCAGTATCTCCGTGTCATTGACAGTCTCTCGTGGACTGCCACTTGCCATGGCAGCATAGAGTCTCATAGTTTCATCGATGCATGCTTGCAGGTACGGCAGCTCCAGCGATAATTCTGCAGTAGTTTCTTGCTTAATATCCGGGTAGCATTTGTCAATCTCGGCGTGCAACTTCCTCAGTTTTTTGGGGTTCTTTGCCAGCAACATCAATAAGAAAATTTCTGCGTTGGCTGTAGTTTCACTTCCAGCGGTCAACAAGACAATGGCTTCATCTTGTAGATCGGATGTCCGGAATGAAGAGCCGGGTCGGTCATCAACAGCTTCAACAAGTTTCTGCAACAGATCCTTTCGAGGTTCTTTGGTCATGGTAGCCCGTCTCTGAGTCACAATCTCCAGGGTGAACTGATCAATGTATGGATCTCGTGCTGGGAACCAGGGAAGTCCCTTCAGCCAAGGAAGAAACTGGAAAATGCCAGAGAGAACTAAGCTGTGCTCAATTGTCGAAGGCAGCGGATGGCTTCCCTGCTTGACAACATTGAACGTTTCACCAAAAACAGTGGCTCCAATAATGTCCACTGCCAATGCGCGAATGAGTCGATGGATGTCAATCATCGCTTCGCCTTGGTTATTATCACAGATAGACGATATCTGATCAATGGCAACGGCCACACATTCTCTCATAATAGGCTCCATTCCTCTGATATATCGAATGCCGAAAGTAGACGATACCAGTCGCTTACGATGAGAATAGGCCTTTTTATCGGTGAAGGCCAATAATGTCGGGCGTTCGGGGTCTTGTCGAAAATTCGCGTAGATCGCATGAGACTTTGGCCAGTCTTCGGTGACAATGATGCGGCGAATTGCCTCCGGATCTGAGACTCCAATGATCCCAGGAGCCAGAACAACAATGGGGCCGTATTGGCGGTGCAGATTTACCATGGTGATGTGGCTTTTGCCTTTCGCGATGGCGATCACAAGCGGCCATTCGGAGAGCTTATGTTTGAGAGAACCAGGGATGCGATTGAGAACTGAAGCTGAGTGGACAAGGATCTAAATGTTGGAAATTAGTCCAATTATTTTAATTTTGACATCGGCAAATGGCACTAGGGTTGAGGCTTACCCTCCATATGCGGGGGACAAAGAAGCATAGAACGATGGCTAATGAGACATTGCAGAATGTCATAGCCAATGCCATCATCTAGAATCTAGATGCAATAGTGAAGATAAGTTGGTCCAGATCTAACGGGGGCCGGGGGCCGGGGGCATCATTTCCTTAATATCTCATAGGATCTTTGTCTCGCCAGCCAAAATAATCCACCGAATGCGTCGGCGCGATTCCATATCCGATCTTATTGTCTCAAATGACTTACTCTCGTATCTAAATGTTGGCTCATGCCAGTTTCTATCTCTTACGGGAAGATTTCGGCTTTGCAACATTCCATCATGGCCGAGCCAGACATCACTGACTCCAGCACCAAGAAAGACTGGCGCTTTGTAGCCATATTCTCGGCTCTATGTATGGCTGCATTTCTGGCGGCTCTCGATACATCCATCATCGCGACCGCCTTGCCAACTATAGCTGCAGCACTCCACTCAGAAACTCTCTATGTTTGGACAATTACTTCTTACCTCCTCGCCTCGACGGCCGTCCAGCCGCTTTTCGGACAGATGGCTGACATCTTCGGCCGGCGAAACCTGACAATTCTCTCGGTTGCACTGTTTGCCCTTGGCAGTGGCATCGCTGGTGGTGCAAACAACACCGCGATGATGATCGGAGGACGAACTGTTCAGGGCGTCGGTGGAGGCGGCATCAATGTTATGGTTGAGATTGTGGTCTGTGACCTCGTCTCACTCCGCGAACGAGGAAAGTACGTTGGAATCATCGGCTCCATGTGGGCAATCGGATCGGTCATCGGTCCCATCGTCGGCGGCGCTTTGTCTCAACATGCCACCTGGCGCTGGATATTCTACATCAATCTTCCCTTGTCGGGTGCCACTCTCGCTCTTTTGATTCCGTTCCTACGTCTGAATTACCGTCGAGAAGGCACCATTCTCGATCGCTTGAAGCGAGTAGACTATCTGGGCAACACCGTTCTTATCCTTGCCGTGATCTCCGTTCTGCTGGCTCTAACGTGGGGTGGGACTGTGCATGCCTGGTCTTCATGGCGCACGATCGTCCCCTTGGTTTTAGGCATGGCCGGTCTTGTTGGATTCTTAATTTATGAAGCTTCTCCGGCTGTGAAGAAGGCCACCATGCCGATTTCTCTATTCACGAATCGCACATCTGCCACGACTTACCTGTTGAGTTTCTTGCATGGAATGATCCTGTACTGGGCGTGCTATTTCTTACCGGTCTATTTTCAAGCTGTATTAGAGGCTTCACCTACACGATCGGGGATCATGCTCCTGCCAATTGCGACAACAACCGCACCATTTGGGGTAGTGGCTGGAGTTCTGATCACGGTCACCGGCCACTATCGCACTTTTCATTTCTTGGGATTCGGTTTGATGACTATCGCATGTGGACTCTTCAGTCTTCTTGATCAGCATTCGACCACGGGCGACTGGGTAGGGTTTCAGATTTTGTTTGGAGTTGGCGCCGGCTTTGTTTTTACTAGTTGTCTGCCGGCTATCCTCGCGGCCTTGCCCGAGTCTGAAGTTGCCAGGGCCACAGCGACTTGGACATTCCTACGAAGCTTCGGGTCTGTGTGGGGCACAGCTATCCCTTCGGCGATATTCAATTCACACGTAAACAAGCTTGTCGTCTCCATTCCCGATTCGGCTACCAGAGCGCTCATGGTTAACGGTGGAGCTTACGAACATGCTACCGCCACATTCCTTCGGTCTTACAACGGCTCGCCTCTCAAATTGGATATCATACGTGTTTATGTAGACAGTTTGCGCTTAATTTGGTATGTGGCACTCCCATTTGCCGGAATCGGGTTCCCTTTGGCATTTTTGATCAAGGGACTGCACCTTCGGGATGAGCTCAACACGGAGTTTGGAATGACGGAGAATATCGAGTGTGATGAAAAGCAACCCACAACAAGAGGTTAGGGCTTTTTTTGGATTGTAATGAGAATGTATGTTTCTAGGACTACCTGAAAATGTAGAGCGGTGTCTCCACAACTACTTTGTATTTAGTGATCTGGAAGGCGGCGATCTAGGCGAAGGCGAAGAACATACATTTCGTAAGAACATTTGGAAGTGTGTTCTCTGGGTAAATTGCACAGGGAAACTAGCCACCATGATTAAATTCAGTTGCATCGGAGTAGTTTAGCCATAGATCCTTCCGCCCTAGCTGAGACGCGGTTTGGAGGCCGGGAGGGCTAGTTAGTTAACTAGTTACGTTAGTTAGTTAGTTAATTGGTGTGAGGTCCTGATTTTCTAGGCAACGATAGGGCCAGATTCTGCTTGCTACCTGTTTGCTTCTGTTTGCTGATAGATCGATCTTGCTTCCTTCATCAACTCTCTCTTCTTTTCTTCTCTCTCCCTTTTGTATCCATTCTAACAATTACGTTGTATATCCGAGATCTTCATTGTATTAAGATCTGTAGGACCAATCTCTTCCGGCTGTCGAATCGCTTAATTCCTACTTGATCAAGATCCATTACCCCAGAGTTCGGGGTTTGACTGTCAATTCCCGGGGTCGGTGGGTTTCGGCGGGTTTCGGCGGGTTTTGTTCGGCCCGTTCCAGCCACTACTTGTTGATGGTTGATGGTACTCTTCCAACTTCTTCCCTTTTCATTCAGCTCACTCCTGGTCCGAATACCACAATCCTTATTCCCACCGGATTACGATATTCAGACCTTAAACTGTATACGGCCGGAAATAAAATGGCTTCGGGGCTTTTCTTCGACCCGCTCAAGCTCCTCCGCGTTGCCCCGCTTCTTACCACCACATCGGCACTGCTCTATGCTTGGGATGAGCATTGGTATCTGTCAGGCTTCCTGCGCTCAGAGCATAAGGCCGAAACGGAGACGGTCCTCCCGAGTTACTTCCGTCGCTTCTTTGAACAGGGAATCTTTATTGTCGCCGGTCTCAACACCCTCACGGTCTCCACTTCGGTCGCCAATCTGCTGACTGATCGCCCGGTACTGGACCGTCTCCGATCTTCGCAATGGTACTGGGCTGGTCTGGGCTTCACTGCTTGTCACTTTTTGTTCGTGCCTCTTATCGCGTATCCAATTCGCGACATTATAGAGAATCGGTCTCAGGGGAAAAGCACTAAGGATTTGCAGCGGTGGATCGATATTCATCGTATTCGGGTTTTTGTTGCTGATTTGCCGGCGTGGATGAGTTTCCTGGTCGCCGTGCTTTCTACAATTCACCTATGAGCTTCTCATCCGCCAAATGGTATCTGATTGAAATTGCAAAACATTCCTTCCCTTTCAGTTTAGTGATGGTGATTTATGGTACAGTCAATAACTGGCGTAGAAACCCTCCGAATACAAGTACAAGCTGACATCCCCGGAAAACCTACGTGCATGCCCATCCACCTACGCACCACCAGAGCACCATGCCTTCACTTCAACAGCTATCCATTGCTTCCAAAGAATCCATTGGCTTACTCCCCGTAGCAAATCCGCCGGATTGTTCGGTTCCATGTCTGGAAGTTTTGGACAACGATGTGCCTATGCAGGGTGGTGGATTCTACAATAAGAATTCAGAACTGCAGTACGCAGCAATGCAGAGAGCTCTGCCATTATTCGACTCAACTTTGAGGCAAAGCACAACTCCAGTGGTCATTTCAGTGGTAGAATACGGATGCGCTCAGGGCGCAAACTCGTAAGTCCAGCAAAACGGCTTCTATCCCCGGGGTACTAATTTTGATAAAAGAATCGAGCCATTTCAGCGTGTCTTGAGCGCCATTTTCTTCAAAAGGCCAGCCGCTGACACTATTAGCAACGAAGTGAATCTAATTTTCACTGATCGCGTCGGGAACGATTTCACCATGGTGGCAAACACGATGAACAACACTCAGTGGTTCCCAACTACTAGACCCGGTCCAAAGATTTTCACCTCCATGGTAGCGCAGAGCTTCTACAAAAGGGTCGTTCCTACACGGTCTGTCTATCTAGGATTCTCTCTGGCTACGCTTCATCACTTGGAACGATATCCCACTCTCAATATGTCTGATGGGAAGGAAGGATCTGAATCAAACGAGGAACAGGCTCTGCTCAAAGAGCAAGCTGACAGAGACCTATGCAAGTTCCTCCATCTAAGAGCTGAAGAATTTCGATCGGATGGAACTCTGGTTCTATCTTTGGTGGGCCAGTCATCAACAGGGACCCCAAATTACCCCGGATTAGTGAAGTCTTGTCGAGAGGCCATGGTGAGTCTTGTGACGGAGAACCGGATTCCGCCCGACGTTGCCAAGGCATTCCGAGTTCCAACTTACGATCGATCGTTGGAGGATGTTGAGACCTCGCTCGAAAAGTTACAAGATCTCTGGAGAGTGGAACACATCTTTGAAGAAGAAATTATCCACCCTGCGTACGAGACTCTTGTCACCATGCAGCCTGGCTCTGATAGTGCCAGGGCAAGTGTTGACTATGCCAACACCGTGGTAAACTGGATTATTGCTGTTATCTCCGGCTATTTCGTCAAAGCATTGGATGTCGCGGGGGTGAATGATCCGGTGGAGCAAAAAAACTTCTTGGAGGCTTGGAGCTCTTTGACTAAACAGACCTTCCTCAGGGAACACCGGAATGAAAAAGTGGCGTGCTCATTCATTTACGTGAAGTTGGTCAGAATTTAAATATTCTCTTATCTAGTTCTCTCTCTGGTGTTCAAACCGCTTGCCTGAATATCCCTCATACGATACAGAAATGCACTTTCGAGTTCGCGTTACTTGCACAGCTCTTGATTCTCACGAAGCTATCAAGCTCTGTTTCAAAGGTGCCAGTCCCACTTGAAGGCTTTCAAAGTCAAGAATCACGTAAAGAGCCGCGAAGAAAGTTTGTCCAAAAAATGCCATGGGTCCATTCGAGTAAAAGTCCCACGTCTTGATGTTGAGTGTGCAGCTTTCATTGGTGCAACTCACATAAAACCTGGGTGAGACAGTGTAATTCTGCTTCCCTTGGAACTCATAAGTGAGAGTCGGAAACCTGTCAAGATTTTCAACTGTCGACAGTCGATATGATGCCTCTGGGCCTGTACCAAACTCCGTCGCATTTGTCGTATGCAGGAGGCCAGGAAGTGCATTCAGTGGAATCGGAGCACCATTTCCTTCCGAGCCTTCATCAAACACAGCTCTGGGTTTCCCATCAGCGCATCCGGTGAGTAACGTCTCCTGGTTGAGTTCGACTTTATCCGATCCAATCCACATTCCTGTCCACTCAATCGCCCAGAAATTGTGTCGAGAAGGAGTGACATTCAGTGGAGAACTTTCAAAGAGGCAGTTTCCTACGTTCACTTCGAAACGAACAACTTCGGCGGGATCAAAAACTTCCCTATCCGCCGTGCCACCAAACACAGTCTGCATATCACCTCCTCCGCATGTGGATTTGGAAGTCAATGCCGCGCAAGAATGGAATCCCACTTGCGGGCCTAGCTGACCTCCAAGGTAAGCCTGGTATGAAGCTGGATAGAATGTAGCATTTTCGGAAGGAAACACAGGAGAGAGTCCAAAGATGCCACCAAATGGAACCACCTCATCAATGACAAGATCGAAATCAGAAAGTTGGAAACTGACTCCGTCATCACAGACGTCCCCGATACAGACTTTGTCCCGATTGTAGGTCACGGCAAATTCGTATCCGGGTAGGAAGCTAGTCCCGTCCCAACCGGTTGCGGAGAGATTGGTCGAAAGGAATGTTCTGGAATCTTTCTCATTGAAGTATTCTTGGCCTGATGGGATGCACTTTGCAAGATCGTATGATCCCACGCAGTTTGCGGAACGTGCAAAAAGTGACATCCACGTCCAGTCACTTAGGACAGTCAAGGACTGTGGCGGTGTGCCAAGTGTAATATGGAATAGAGGGCCTAGGGGACTTGATTGCATGGGGACTGACACTTTTGTAGTTGTCGCTTCCGCATGCTTCTTCGTTTTGCTACCAAGCACAGTGCTTGCAGGAAGCAGGAACAGGATCCCCAGTGAGAGATGAGCAGGTGCTTTCATTTTAAAGTGAGATTTAGAGGATGGATGAGGACTGTAGATATCTTCTGCCTCAATTCAACGTTCTTTGGATTGCTACTTATAGTGCAAGAGCCGATGGCGATATGTTCCTGTCACCCTCGTAGCTCACACGAGGCATGGATTACATGGGACGTTTTTAAGTTCTTCTCAAAATACTGTCCAATAAGCGATGTTTCCTACTAAATCATACGTTTACGGATGTGCAATTCATAATATCCCTCTTTGACTGGGTAGTTTGTATGCGGCTATGAGTCTTCACCGAACTCCCCGAAACTCGCCGATGTTGATGCGGTGCCCCTGCCAACTATATGAAGGCGTCGAGTCATCATAACCACGATACTCCAGTTTCTAGACAGATATCACTATGTCTGAGTGGTCTGAACTGTCGTTCGATAGTTTTCACAACACCATTGATGGCAAGCCTCGGGGATCCAGCAAGCTTCATCGTGGTGTGGACCCAACTACGGGCAAGCCCTTATGGAATACTCCAGTCGCAACAGTAGAGGATATCAACGATGCAGTGAATGCCTCCAGAAAGGCATTTCCGGCCTGGTCGAGCTTGGAGTATAGTGCTCGTGTCAGGCTGCTGGATCAATTCGCCGATGCTTTCTTGGAGTTGGCTCCACAATTCACGGCTTTACTCCAAGCAGAAACTGGACGAACGGTTAGATCACCTTGACCCCAACGAAAGAAAATCATGGACCTGTTAAAGCTGGTGTTTGTTGTTCCTCGAGACTAATATCAATCCAGGAAAGTATTGCACGGGTTGAGGTCCACTGGTCACCTCTTTGGCTTCGTTATCCAGGTGATATATGGTGCCCTTTGAATCGAAGTGGCTCCAATGTTGACCTTTCCAGGATCTCATGCACTTCCTCATCAGGTGTTTGAAGACGATGACAAAGTTGTGACTGTTCGTTACGAGGCTCGAGGCGTTGTAGCTGCGATCTGCCCTTGGAATTGTGAGGCTCATCTCTCCCACTGCGTTTATATTTGAACTCACGCAGCTGTACAGACCCGATTATGCTCTGTAAATTCGTTCCACCAAGTGATACAATAACAGCTAACTCCGAACAGCATTCGGAAAAATCGCGCCTGCTCTTGCAGTAGGAAACTGCGTCATTGTCAAGCCATCGTAGGAATCCCTCACCTCAGAATGAACACGCCTAACAAAACAGGCCATTCACGCCATACACAACACTGAAATTCGTTGAATTGGCCCAATCGATCTTCCCTCCCGGAGTTCTCCAAGTTGTCGCCGACGACGGAACTTTAGGTCCACATCTTGTCAATCATCCGGGAATCCAACAAATCTCATTCACAGGCTCCACGGCAACGGGGAAGAAGGTGATGGAAGCTGCAGCAAAAACGATGAAGAAAGTCACACTTGAGCTGTCTGTCACTAACTCCTCCTGAAAGCAATAAACTTCGCTAACAGAACTAGAGGCGGAAACGACGCATCGATCATAATGCCAGACGTGGATATCGAAAAAATTATTCCAGAAGTCGCCATGGGTGCGTGGTGGAATTCCGGCCAATCCTGCATTGCCACAAAACGTCTCTATATTCATAAGAGCATCTATGAGGATTTTCTAAAAGCTCTCGTCGAATTCACAAAGTCTATTTCTGTGGGATGTGGATCCGGTGGAGGCCCGGTGATGGGCCCGGTGCAGAACGAAATGCAATTCATGAAACTGAAGGGGCTGATTGCAGGGTGTCGGGAGCGCGGATACATCTTTGCTCTTGATGAACCAGAGGGCGGACGAATCGACCTTTCCCGGCAGTCTCTGGACTCGGGCTTTTTCCTTTGGCCTATGATTGTTGATGATCCCCCAGCCGAGTCATCTCTGGTCATGGAGGAGCAATTTGGTGAGTCAAATGTTGACCAGACCTCGTTTACCACTTGTCTGAACTGTATTGCTGACGGCCAAGGCCCTATAATTCCGTGTGTGCCATTTTCAACCGAAGATTCTGTGATAACAGCTGTCAATGGTACATCGACGGGGCTGAGTGCGAGTGTGTGGTGTAATTCCGTTCATACCGCGCAGAGAATTGCAAGCCAACTAGATGTTGGGACTGTTTTCATTAATGGACCTGGTCGACCTGATCCGCGTGTGCCGTTTTCTGGGCATAAGGAGAGTGGGATGGGTATTGAGTACGGGGTGATGGGTCTGGTCGAGTACTGTCAGGTTAAGTCAATCGTCCGATACAAGTAGATATGGATCTCTGGGAATGGGTTGAAAGAGATCATGTATCCACTTTCAGGTATGATAAGGGCCGATCTGGAGAAGCATGAAGCAGAAATGAGGTTGAACCTCACCAGTTCAAATTTCGAGTCTCCGACTATTGGAGGTTGGGATGATACCCGGGCGTCACTGAAGCCCAACTTGGAAGTTCTCCGAACAACTTTTTTATGCATGTCTTGGCCCGAACATAGATATTTTGTTGAAAACGCTAGAAAGATCCTCAACTACTGCGATGGCAGGCTTTTTTGCTTGAATGGGAAACTCCGACATATTTTTCATGGCATAAGTCCGATCATCCCTAATGAAAGGTAAGTTAACCCTCTTGCAGGGCTAGGGCACCTATAAAAAGTACGCTAAAGATCTAGCAAGTATTCACTTAACTAGAGATTCCTAAACCGACTCAGTGAACCTGAGTTGTGGCACCCTCATAACAGCGGCGGCAGATTAAATATGAAAGCCATGCCCGCCAGCGTACGTATAGTGGCATGTATCCCTGGCTGGATGCTCTTCCCTCATTGCATGATCTATATGTTATTAGATGAGGATATGAAAAGCCATAGCTAGATATCATTACCACTATTTGAGACGTAATGCGAAGTTAACAAACCCGTCGCCAGCATTTCGATGTTGTTGCTTCATTTTTCGGGAGTCAGAGTCTCATTTCTGGAGGCAAGTTAAAAGAGGGGGAAAAGGGGTTGCTTTCTTCCCAGAGAACTCCCAGAGAACTACCAGTCAGCGTTCGAAGGCTCGGCTCTCTCGGAGTAGTATCCTTAATGTGTGGTGAAGCCGAGGTCTGAAAGGAGGGCAGCTATCCTCCGGTTATCTCAGGGTTTTCGCTAATAACTTTGTTCCAGGCGTTTTATGCGTATAGGACCAGTCTTGACTGTATTGACTACTGCCGGTTTTGCGTTGAGGCTTCTAGAAGAGCTAAAAATTCATGAAGATGAAAAAGGCGCCAGTACATGCGCTTTTTCACAAGTTCAATAGTGTTGGCCATTTTGAAGCATTGAAAATTGAGCGTGACTGTCCAAATATAGACGTACCAACATTGGTAATTCAACCTATAGCCATCTTCACCTTGGCCTGACAAATCACTAAGAGATATGATGTAGATTCCTCTGAGGTCCGACCCCAATTCGACAACTTGAGTAGTCTGGGCTCGGTGGACGGTGTTCTATTTTTTTGGTGCAAAGTCTTTGATGTGCCTTCCATTGAAGGAATCCTATTATACGAGCCATCATTTTTCTCTATCATGAAGCACTACTAGCCCCTTCCATGTCCTTCCCATTATTCTTGCCAGTGAACATTGTGGATGAGGTTTATTGTAGCGCCGACTTCTATCAAATATCCTCCTGGGTAACGCAATGAGATATATGAGATATTTCATCACGTCTCCGGTCTCAATCCTCTCTGCTAAACTCGAAGTTAAATTGCAGTTTTTGTGAGCTTTTCAAGGGTGGCTCTGGGTTTTGAGAAGCCATGGGTTCTGTCTCACACGCGACGCGTTGACTGGTGAGAGGTATCAGCCATGATCCATAGTAACATTAGATAGAATGTGACGATTTGACTAGGGACAATCCAGGCTAATTATAGTCCTGTTGCCATTGCGACCAGAAAATTATCTCATCTCGAGCAGGTCATCTGTGAGACCAATTGTCTCATGTCGCAAGGGGCGTTGACAAAGATATGCCGGTGTTCCAGGTTAAAGAGGCGCAGGAGGGGAGCCTGTCAATATCTCGTGGAGATGGACAAGAGAAAGCCTCCCTCTTATTGCGGTTGTTCCTGTGTGCCCGGGTGTTATTAAGCATATACGTGTAAGAGCTGTTCGGGGATGGGTGTCATGTTGTACTTTTTGAGATGTGTCTCCATAGTTGTTACCTTTCACGACGTAGCTACCAATCATCAGTCTCCAAATGTAACTACAACCTTGCAAGGCCGCTGTTTACATTAAGTTTGACGAGTATGTATCTAGCCCGAAACATGGACAATTGCCTACCTACAACACTTTGAATACTAAGACAGGCATGTGAAGATTCAACTCCAATTAACAATGAAACTGCCTAGAAGTGACACGATCTATTGTTGTAGAAGTCGTAGCTGTCTTTCTCGAGATTGAGTGCTGCCTGCATGTCTAGATTATAAAGGGTGCACTAGATCACTCAGCTTACTAAAATAGCACCACTGGGTTTTGATGCATTTATAGATTCTACACAGTGGGCTACTTAACTAGTGAGGCTTAGCGAAACATAACTAGCTCCCGTGTGACCCGTGGTATATTGACCGATGCTGCGTACTCATGTGAGGATAGTACATAACATGCACGTGTTGTTTAACCCTCCAAGGCACAGTAACTTTTTACCGTACTATCTTGATTCAGCTAACAATATTTGGCAGCCTATTTTGGGTAGCTCACTAGTTGATATCAAATGTCACCACGAAGCACAAGACCTTTTCAACGCAGAGTGGTCCGTAGATGCGCAGATATATTATATAGCGAACGTAGTGAGATTCGATTAAAAAATTTTGAGCGGTAAAATCCTTATAAGAAAAGATTAACTATAGAATTGTCCCACATGAACATGATTATTTTTAGGACTCTCCTAACTGGGCTCCATCGTAAGCTCCCATGCTCCATACCTCTATACGGAGTACGGAGTAGTTATAGCCCATACCAAGAGGCCAAGCCTAATCCCAGGCTCTGACCTCGACAAAGTTAAATACCAGCGATCGACACACGACGATCACAACCACATCTATTGATAAACGACGAAGGATGTAATCCGTACTCCGTAACAATGAAGTGGATGAAAAGGATGTGGTACCTGTGCACTTCTGAGATTCTCTAAGCCAGACCAGATGGGAACTCCACCGGGAGCTCCCCCTGCAGGCAGTGCACTGCCCACCCCCACAAGGAAAAGGTTGCCAATCACAATCCGAGTTTAGTAGTGTATGTATCCAGCGTCTTAGCTTGTAGAAGAGGCAGAATCAATGAAGGCTGGTTACCCTCATCAGACTTACAACTAAGAGAAAACTACTCCGTACACAACTACTTGACTGTACCAGAGATGTGTCAAGTACCAAAAGCTCTAATCATAGGACAATGTAAGGTCTTATTTCTGCCCAGTCAACATACACCAAACAGATACCGAACAGATACTGGTAATTACAATACCTACCCACAACCAATCGGGAAGATCAGGAAACAGACCCGCTTTGCACAGCCTCCTTCTGCTTCAAACCTTGGGAGTCGACAGAGGGGGGAAATGAATCGGTCAATCCCAGCGTCATTTGGCGTTACGACCCTTGAAACATCAAACTGACAGCGCTTCGGTGAGTGGGGCCACTTTTTAAGAAGAAACTTTGAGAAAAGAGAATTCAGAAGAAGACAAGTGGAGTCTGTGTTTGGATCTACCCTTCAATGAGCTTTGTGAGAAACTCAGGGTTGTCCTTGGCGCGCGATTAACTAGCGGTGTTTTGTGTCTGTTGCATTAGCTGCAAAAAGGATCAACTCGACCACCCGGTGATTTTTTTTTAAAAAAAAAACACGCAACAAAAAAAAAAAAACAAGGGCTAAACTAGCGAAGGCCACGAGTCCATTTTATGCATGCTGAGATGCAGTGCAGCCCTAGGGTACGCTGGGCTCGAATTCAACTACGATGTACGATTCGAAATAGGGCCTTGGCTTTTGTCTCATATCGCCGACGCTGTATTACTGTTTTTTTTTTGAGTTTGTGCAATGCATATTTTGTTTGCTCTGTGGGACATGGCACCTAGGCTCGACCGACGGGGGCGTTGGATATGAATCACAAGATGGATAGCTAGGTACGGAGGAGCTTTCGGAAGACCGATGGCTTGTGTATTTAGGAATGGGTTGACATCACAGTGGCTGTACAGATCAGCAGGGGCATGTCGGCCGACGTGCTGCCTAATGTGTGTCTTGTTCTTGTAGATCATGGGGATGGAGCACGGAGGAATCTCCTGTCAGCTTGAGCGACTCGTCTGGGAAGGCCGGATGCTGTGTTTGTGAGCCTTGCTATGCCATTGTCGCTGCCTGTACGAAGTAGAACGAAATGAGACATAGTCAGTCTTGTTCGTCTGGCCAGCGACAGTGTTCACTTTCCACGTCAAGCACGCGGTCCTCCCCAAAGAGTGGGTGCCTCAATAATGATGACCCAGCTTTGCAGTGGTTCCCAAGCCCGAGCAAAGGTGTACTACACGTTACTCACGACAAGCCCGGTGAGCCTCCTTGGTTGTAGATGATTATCTGGATCCGAACAAAAATCCCCCAAAACTTGAACTATAAACAAATGCAAGTTGGAGCTTAAGCTTTCATGACTCGTTAAACTATGTATTTATGTGTGATGTTCATCACTCGTTTCAAAGATTGCCACGCCCAGAATCATTAGCTGCCGGGACCCGCATTCCCGGAGGAAGGCGGATGGCGGGGTGGGCTCGTGGTCCCTGAGCCAAATTCATTTGGAACGCGATGTCGACGCGGGCTTTGGTGAGACCAATGGCTGGCACGACCCAACCACCACAGCTACACCGAAGACCTTGCCATGCAAATTTGCCGACATTGGACCCGCAGATAGGATTCGGGCAAGTGAGGCGTCCGGAGAGAGGGGCATCTTCGGAGTGCGCACCGTATGTTGTATCCGCGCTAGCCTCGGCTTCATCCTCAGATGGGAAAAGACTTGGGCGCATCCAGGTCAGGGGGTGGAGAAAGACATGACCGCAATCGGCGGTTGCCGAGGACTTGGCGACGTTTTGCCTTTCTTCTTCATGCGGGATGATGAATGGAGTCGTTGCCAATTTAGTTCTGTGATGGCTTTAGTAAATCTAGAAGTTACGTTTTCCCCCCTGAAGAGTATGGGCCTGGGGGTTTAGTCATGGGACTAACCTGCATTTCCGACATTTTATCTCCACTGTTCGACCGGTGGCGTCTTTTGATTGAACGGGTTGTTCATCTT